TGAAAAGTCACTTTCCTCTCCCGGCTATCTGTGCCCTCCCTTGGACTCCCAAGCCATAGCCTCTCCTGTGAGGTTCTGCTTTGTAGTTTTCTTAGTTATCATCAGTCTGCGCCTATATTCCTGGATTTAAAGCTTTAGACAGCACGTTTTTCTTTGAAAGATGAAGAGAAATCTGCATTCTTAATAGCTTCTCTCATTTCTCCCCCATGTTGATTCACACACACAGCATTGCTAAAGTTTATACGTCACATTCTCCTCTGTGACTGTAATAATTATTATAAAATATAATATATAAACATTTATTTTGTTATAAACCTATAAATGCTAATCTCTATAGAGCTGTTTAGTTGTGTGCGCAGTCATAGAGGGGGGTATATTATCCTATTTTACTAAATCCCTGTGGCTTAAAGGAGAATGACATAAATGTAAATATCCACGAGATTCTCTTAATTAATTTTAGCCTCTTAACTACTCTGGGTATTTCTTAAAATGTTATTGCTGGTTCCTTTTCCTATGTTTAACACAAAATTTTTTTTTTCCATTCAATTTCATTTGGTGCTTGGGTAGATACATGTGCTTGCTCTGCCATCTTGTACCAGCATGGTCAGAAATGTTAAACAGGAATTAGGAATTTAAAATCCTCAGCTTTGGGCTTACCCATATTTTTGGTGTTTGGCATAGAAATTGCTGAATGAAGCTGTTTCAGAATCTTACATACCCTACCAAGATTGGAACTGTCAACTATTTTTTCCTTCTATACCAAGATTTTATAAAATAGAACATAGCATTCATGGTCTTTAACCACTGCATCAAGATACTCTGCTCAGAGGCTACCCTCAGGCTTGAAAAATTTTAAGAAGGAGCCTCTGCTCATTTTTTTAGCTGCAGCAGTAGTAACACTGATCATCTTAGAAAGAATTTAAGATTTTTTTTTCTTCTTTTGGGTAAACCAAATTTGCTTTGGCTCAGCTAGGACCGATTGCTGCCACCATTTCCTTATAAGCCATGTATTGTTTTTATTCTCCACAGCCTCCTGTTTGGATATGCCCTTGGCATGTAGAAATAATACGGGTCTGTCACTTAATTCTCATTGACGTAGTGTGGGAAGCGATGCAGCATAGCAGCGTGGCTGCTGTGGGTTTTCCTCACGGTTCTCCTAGGGAACACTGAAAGGGCAAAGAACTTCAAGGTCTTTGTCTCAAATGCTTGTCTAGTCCATAATAGTCTCATCATGGTGTACGGGTAATGTGCTTATGTGAGTTCTGTGGAAGAATGAGGCTATTGTACACTTTACCTGTTGTAGATTTTATCATGAGCTTATAAATTTTCTGACACTGGTCTTCACTTGAACGCAAACAGAAGCATAGGTGACAGAAGCTTTTGTTTTTTCCTTCTTAACGGCTGTTCAGCTTGCTTTATTTTTCTTAAAACTGCAACAGTTAGATAGATGTTCCATTAGTAATAGTGCTCAGTTATGTTGATACCTACGTAGTCCAGAAATTTCTCTTTTCATAGCACTAGAAACAAAGTGAGTTTTCATCTTTTGTCTTATATGTAATACAAATGTACCAGCTTCTGAAACTGGGCAATTTTATCTTGAATATGCCTTGTATATTTGTTCTCTTCTCCAAAGGTAATATTAACTGATCATTATATTGTATAGTTACAGAAGGTTGATTGTGCTGAAATGTATAATTTGCAGATGTGTATTTACGGACACTTCAGAGAGAGTGTCTTTGACTATAAGGAATTCGGCAAGCCTATTTTGAAGCTTTATAGTGAGTTTTTAAAATACAATGCTTTTAACCTTTGCAGTACAAACCTTGATATATTTTTAAAAATAGAAGCCTGATAAGTGAAATGAACTTGATAAGAAAACAGATCTTTCTCTTTTATTGGGGAATGCTTAAGGCCATAAGAACTTACATCTTAATAGGATGTGATTTTAAAATTTCTAATACAATTTTACACTTAAATTATTTCAGTCATACTATTTAATTTATTATCTCTAAAAGGAGGGATTAACTAGTAAGAAATCCTAGATTTTAAATTATCGACCACCTACTCTTTGCCTAAATATGACAAAAAAATAACAAAACCTTTTACACTTTGAGATTCATCAGACTTTTAAATATCAAAAAATAAATTTTTTCTTTTAATTTTTAAAAACCCGTTACTCAGATTATGTTACTAGCATGAGATTACCTAAAACATGACACATCAGTCATTAATTGGCAAACACAACTCATTCATCCACTTGACAAATATTGGTAACCTGGTGTGTGTCAGGTACTAGTCTAACATTCATTTTTAAAAATTAATGACTTTAAATTATTCCACTTTTAAAGTTAATTACCAAATCTTATATACGTTGCTTTGAAAGGAGTTAATTACCTGAAGTGACAATTTCTTAAACTGTTGGGAGGATCCAATTCAATATTCAGGTAAGAAGCCCCCTAGCCATAGTGATGTTAAAGACTGAGAAAGTAGGCATTGAACAGGATTATTTCTTGAACCCAGATCAGTGAAATGGCGTTCAACTATTTGGAAATACCTTTGTTGCAAAGAATATTTGTAACAACATTTTCAGTTCATAGGATTTTGCCTAAATTCTGTTAGACCTGTATTATTTGTGACATAGTTTTTCTTATAAAAAACTGTAAAATTTTCCATAAAATTGTATGAAATCTGTAATATCCTAGAGTCACTAGAAACTTCCAGCTGCCCAGTTGGTATCTTCTTCAGTTAGATGTCTCATACAGTTGCTCCAACTGAACATTTTGAAACAGCTTCAGCCTTCCTCTCACATCTGCTTTTTCTCTGGTCTTTCCTGTCAAGTTACAGAGGTCAGTTCCACAGTTGAGTATGATCCATTCTTCCTCCACAATCTATCTCCAGTCTGTCTACTTTTCTCTGTGTCCATTATCATTGGTCGGGTTCAGGCTGCCACCATCTTACCTGGATTACCACAATACTCTTTTGACTTGTCTCCCTGCTTTCCTTCTCGTTGGCCTGTCTCAGCCATTCTCCACACAGTTAACTTAGCTATTTTCTTTCTTCCTTCCTTCCTTCCTTTCTTTTTTTTTTTTTTAAGATTTTATCCATTTATTTAGAGAGTGCACATGTGAGCAGGGGAGAGGGGCAGAGGGCAAGAGAGAGAATCTCTAGCAGACCGCCCCCCCCGAGCGTGGAATGCAATGTGGGGCTCGATCCCAGGACCCTGAGATCATGACCTGAGCCGAAATCAAGAGAGGTGGATGCTTAACCGACTGAGCCACCCAGGTGCCCCTAACTTAAATATTTTCTTAAGGGAAACTAGCTCATTCTGCTCCCTTGCTCAGAACCTGTACATGATTTCCTTTTGTACTTAAGATAAAATTCAAATCTCTTTCTTGGTTTGATACAGTCTGGCATATGCTTGTCCCTGTCAGACTTGCCAGCTTCCCTCTTCATCAGTGCTGTTTTCTGTCCTGAATGCCCCTGTCCCATCCCTTTGCTTGGTCAACTCTTCTCCCCCTTCAGATTTCAGCTTAAAAGGTTAAAAGGCCATTTTTGAAGTACGTTTTCTGCTGAGCCTCCCTCTTCAGATGGTTACTCCTTCTCGTCAGGTCAAGAAGGCTCTCTCTGGTGGTGCACCGTATTAGGCCTGCTCCTAAATTGCAGAGGGAGCTACCACCTGAAGATCTATGGAAGGAGCAGGGAGTTGAAGGCCCGAGGCTGAGATGATTGTGAATTAAAATCAAGCTACCTTCAAAACCACATGAGACTCAACTTGCTAAAGCATTTGAACAAGAGAGTCTCTATACAGAGTGAAATAACTTAAAGATTTTTTCATCATTGAGGCATCCTTTGCCAGAAGCAAATCTCCATTCTCTAAGTCATGGACTCTCATTTAGATTCCTAGACAGGTTTCAAAAATATTTATGCTGCCATTGGCTCAGCTCGGCAGCGGATTCATTGGGGCTCAGTGACTGATATACAGGGTGCCCCATACCTGGTTTCCTCTTGGCCAAGAAGCATCACAGAGTCCAAAAAGCATTGATTTCAATGTCAATGAGAATTGGCCCCAAATCTTAGCTCTTTCACGGATTGCCTGTTAAGTTTGGGCAAAATATTTTTTTGCTCCAAACCAGTCTCCAACCTGGTGGTCTGTGGTGGGTATTAAATGAAGTACTGATTATAAGGCACCTGGCACAGAGCAAATGGCTACAAATGATTCTGATCAATGTCTGCTTACATTTATCCTTCGGATAAAGTGATCAAAGGGACTTCTACCAAATTTTAAGACTGCTCTACCTCAGCTTAGAAACCATAGAGTTATATCTAGGCAAACATTTGAAAAGAAACAATTGATGAACACATTGACCAGAATTCCTTGTTGGTCTCTCTTGTGAAAGTGTGAAGAAAAAAATGATTCTGTGTCTGAGGCAAAGATAAATGTTACAGAGGATATAGTTTCCTCTAGGTTTTATTTGATCTTTTTATTCTCTCTGAAGACATAGTCTGAAATAATGTGGAAAACTTCAAAAGCAGAATAGAAGCACTTGTACTGACACATGGAGACTTTTATGGCTTTCTGTTTACCCAGTGATTTTTTTTTTTAAATCCCTAGATAACAAAATACAAAGAATGGAATTGGGAGTCAGCCTTTCATATTGAAGCACTAGAAGTAAAATCTTTGATCACAGTGATTTCACACAAATAAATGTTAGTTTGGCCCAAGAGGGAAAGGGAACGTGTTCCGATTTCACTGGTCTTGTCAGTGTTTTACATTTTAATCCTATCACAGGCCTTGCATTAAAAACATGGTACACGCATCGTCATCCTCAGAGAAATTTTTATGCTCAAGCAGAGCAAATCCAGTAGATTTATGTAGCCCTTCCCTGGCCTGCATGTTGCAATGGTACATTTTCTTGTTTCCATAAAGAATTTTTCAAAAGCACCAAATACTGATAATTGTTTGCTTTTTTTTTTTTCTTTTCTCTTCCTCTTTTTTCTAGGATTATGACAGTTTTTTTGAAGCAAAGGAAAGCAACACGGTCTATTCATTCTTAGGCCTGAAACCACGATTGGCATCAAAGGTAGGTAAATCTTTTCTTGTTTTAAAATTCATCTTTCTTGAATTGTCTCTAGGGGTTGAGATTGAAGGTGTTAGAGGAATGCATGTGTAAGTCTCCTAAATTTTTAAATTTCACTCGCTCAAATGCACAGTCAGTGACTGCCCGGTGTAAAAATGCACAAAGAAGCCCAGGGTATTTTCCTCCAATTTTCAGTTGTTGTATATTAGAGTTTATTTTTATCTATCATTTATTTTATTTAAAATCTACACCCCCCCTTCTTCCAAGAAGAATTTAAGGTAGTACGTGCTTTCTGTTTTAAAGTGCAAGTTTACATTACTTTACATTTTTTGAAATAGCAGAATCAAAGCTATATCTTTAAGGTTTTTTGCACATTTAATTCCTTTACATTGGAAGGGAGATGGTCTGTAATAATAAATGGTCAACCTTGAAAAAAAAACACTATAATTCCTAAACTAAATCAAAATGTTTTTTGAAGCTACTTTATTATGTTATATGTCTTCGATGGAACATAAAAGGCTCAAGCTTTTCTAATATTTAGACCAGAAGTTATATGTATTATTACAAGTTATATGTATTATATGTATTATTATTGTGAAGCGTATAGATTCACTTTCAAAATAAAAAACAGAATTTCTTTATTAAATAAGGTAATATTTTGATTATTTCCCCCTTTAAAAATATTATTTTCTTCTGATTATGAAAGTAGCCTTATTTAGGAAAGGTTCATTTAGGAAAATACCAAAGTATAGAGTAGAAAATAAAAATCAGTAGAAAATAAAATTCCACCACCCAGAGATAAGCATATTAACTTTTTTGGGGGTATTTTCTTGTTATCTTTATATACAAGGCAGTTGTATATATTCAATTCAAATTGAAACTGAATTCTAAAGTATCTATTTTTAACACTGAATTGAAATGAAAGTACATTACTGGGTACTTTGATGTCTGTCAGCAATAGGTCTTTTGAGACTAAGGATCTGTACCATTTCTGGAACACCTATGGGAGGAAAGCAGAGACTATCAGTAAAATAAATTATACACCAGCACCCGCAGTTCATAGCTGATGTGAAATCTTGCTTTGTTTTTACATTACTAAGTCCACAGATGGTTGTGGGTGGTTTCCATGCATATGTTTTAAACAGTGGCAAAACCCACACATATAATATTTAAAGGTTCTTACAACTATTTTTATAAAGATGGAACATTGGAATACTTGTTAGGAAAATTGTAGTATTTTTATAACATATTTCATCCAAAGATATTAAACAATCCAGATTTATCTTCAAAGACCTGGAAAAAACATGGGTAGGAGTAATCTAAAGGATGCATAAATCTAGTGGACATCATTATCTATGCAAAAACCTTAAAAAAAAAATACTGTGTGCTTGCCATCTTTGTTCTCATTTTTCCCTGAAGATGTAGATTCCTTAGAGACTCTGAAGGCTGATTTTTTTACTCTTTAAAAATATTTATTCTCTCATAAATTTCCCAGGAAGCCTATAATCCATAAAATATGCATTTTCACATGACTTGTGGTCACAGTATTAAAGTTGGTCTTCTGATGCCACTGACAACTACTTGATTTCAGTAGACCGTTCCAAGGGCATTAAAGGCTCTGGGCAACCCCACCCATTCAGTGCACCATATTCCAGCCCCTAAGTCAGTGGAACCAGAGTGGAAGTCCATGGTGCCAGAGTGTTTGTGCAACCCCCTCTCATGAATCATTCAGGGCTGTAAGGGTTAATAGCAACTAACACTTTGCATAGGAGAAAGGTGAAAATATGTTTAAGAGCAATTCAGCTTCCCCCCCCCCCCCACTTACTAATTTTTTTACCTTGGTAGTGTGTATCCACAATCCACACTCAAAGGCCTAGACAGAGTATTCCCATGTATAATGTACTAAAAGATGGAAGCCCCCTTTTCTCCTTTCCTTTCCCTCACTCTCTGCAGTATACGTACATAAACAGTAGGGCTAGAAAGCCTGCCAACAAACATATAAACACCATTAGCATCTGTAATTGCTCATACACAGTGAGGAGAGAGTAGAGAGATGGTAGAAGAGCGTTCACAAGCCCAACAGGCCCAGGTATAAGGTAGACTCTGGGCAGTTCTCAAAAATGGACAGGGCAGAGGAAGATAAGAGGTCACCAAATGGTGGCCTATAGGCCACATTGGCTCTGGATGCATCTCTTCCTACACAGAACTTTGAAAAGAATTTAAATGGGTTGCTAATATTTAAAATACAGATTTCTCACTTTTCTCAAGAAATTGAAAGTATGGAAATCCTGGGGGAGCCCACTTCCTCCTTTGGCTGGTTGGAGCCAGTAGAAGCCAACCCACCATGGTACATACCTAAGAGAAAAGGAGGCCTTTTCACCAATAATTTTCAGGTAGAAAATCATCAAGTTTGTTGTTTAGTTAGACTTAAATCAGGGCCTGGAGCAGAAGTTTCTGCTTTGGGATCCCTGCCTTTCAGGGGTGATATTCGAAATACTGTAACAGCTAGTAGATCCTGGGCAGTGACCAGCCAGAGCTAGTTTGAGCATGTCTCGGAAGTCCCCCCCTCCAAACCCCGCCATGGCAGGTATCTGTTTAGTGGCTGAAACATGGAGCTTTCCTGGGAGGAGGACCAGAGGTGGCCCTGGGGGAATTGGGGCAGCAGCTTATTTACCAAGAATTTTGGCCATACTGGTGCTGTTCTTCAGCTCTGGTTGCCCTCCATAGGCCCCAAGTGAAGTACCTACACACACCCCACTCGCCTGGGTACGAGGGGAACAGTGCCTCTGAGAGGAGTCTCAACAGTCATTGGAAACATGTGGCTTCCTTTCCACTTTGACATTTGGCAGGTTGGGTGGCTGTGATTGAAATCTGTGCTGCTCCTGGAACCTAGGATTTGCTGTCATCAATCACATGGGGGTGATTTATTGTGATTTCCAACATCTCCATTCCTGACATTTAAAATACCATCGCCAGGCTGAATTTTCTTGTCAACCCAATGCAACAGCTGACCTTTTTTTTTTTTTCTTTTTTTAAATTAATAGGCAGAACCTTAGAGAAGACAAGTGGAAGATAACGGAGATGCATTTTGGAGTGCCCCCTGGTACTCAGCACACACCTGCTTACCTAATGCGTCACTGTGACTAAAGCCACGTGCATCATCAGTAACTTTGCTTGCCATGGAAAAGGTGTTTTTGGAAGACATGGGTATAATGGGATTGCATGATTGCTTTAAACCAAATCAGGACTGTGGTGGTTTTTTTCTTATTTTCAGGGTTGCCTGCAGTTGCCTCATTCACCTGGAGGTACTCTAACCTGTTACAGGTGTGCTTCCTTAACGACTAAAAGATAAATGGGTAGCACCATTGGAAGGAAAATGTTGGATCTGCCCTAGGTTGTAGCTGATGCCAGTATTGCTCAGACCTGCCTCTCTTTAAGCGGCCTGGGTTGTATCCTTGAAATTAGTTTGCCAGACTCTTAGAATCTTTTGATCAGACAGAAAAAAAAGCAATGCTGGTTGACAAAGGGCTGAAGATTTTTGCTGCAAAAGTCACAACCATCACTATTCTAGTGCTTTGTAATAGCACCTGTAGAAAAAGATGCTCCAGCCTCCTTTGGCGGTGGACACTCTTATTTCCATAAATCCTCCAGACTCCTACAGATGTTTCCAAAAACCACTGTCGCAACATGTGTGATCAGGACCAAGTTACAGGGTTAAAAATAGTTGGTGTTTTGGAAAAGAAAGCGTTCTTCATCTCTTGCAAGGGAAAAGTTTCATTTAAATGTAAAAGACAGCGTAAAAGGTATATTTTAGGAGGTGAACTAATTAGATAGTAAATTTAGAGGGAAATGATCTGACTCCTATCTGAAGGGATTTTCAGCTCTAGCAACTTATTTATGCACAAGTAACATATTTTTAAATGCAGCTTCCCTAACAGGTGCTTATTCTATTTTGTGAATGGATTATATATATATATATTTTTTTTTTTTTGAGAAAGGAAGATCTTGGTTAGATATCTTTTGTGAGCCCTTGATGAGGCATATGAAAAGATACTAATATTGGGGTACAGTTTCATTTTTTTCCTCGGTTGCTTTTCACCGGACCTCTAACAGCTTGCTCTTATTTCTGGCCAATGTACAGTCCCAGATTTTTCAGAGTACTGCAGATACATGTTCCCATTCTATACATGGATACCAGTGAGCTTTCAGAGCAGTGTATTTGAGAAAGGGGCTGTCAGAGAATATCTCTGAATTGTACTTGGCACGCAGAATCTCTACTCCCTTTGGACCAGATGCTGAACATGTCGACTTCCTTCAGGCAGAGACTACTTTTCTCCATCCTTGTCCCTGCTTATGGTCTTTAGAGTTTGTAGTTGCCATACATAAACAGTCTTGAATAGGATAAATTCTTAGAGGGTTGCCTAGAATATTCTGCTTTTCTCAGCATCTTGATGCTGGACCTGCCGTTCAGATGCTGAGCGGGATGTAAGAAATTGAAAGGACATAAGAATGAAAGCCCTGTCCCCTGTGTTCTCTCACCCTCCACTAAGTAAATGCCGACCGCTCTGAAGGACTGGTCGAATGCGGGCGCTGAAATCCCAGCCTGAGATTTGCAGCCCAGGACTACAACCAGAAGAAGAACATGCCACAGATTTCAACTTGACTGGAACCGATACATGATCCACAGTTTTCTCTCCAAGGAGAGCTGTTGTGAAATCATGGGTATTACTGCTTAGTTGGCATTAAATAAGATCCAGGTCAAATTCCATTTGAGAAATCCCAGGGACTATCCAGGAAACTTTTATTTTGAACTGGATATTGTGTTTGAGTAAATGTGTCTTCTGATAAGACTTAGAATTTCATTTGCAGATACAACAATTTTAAAAATTTAATGCTACAGTGATCTAACTTACATTTAATCTGCTCTTGCTGATGAGCACCAAGAGCCAACTTGGTAAGATTGAGGCCTTGCAAGTTAAATTCTGGGGTTGGGGGATCAACATGATACTTGCTAGACAAAGATAGCTGTTCAGATTTGTTCATCTTAAAGCTTTTGCATTACTGTGGTTATCGCAGGACCAGAATGGTTCTTCTAAACAGACTAGATGGATGATTTTGCTAAATTGCTACCAGTCACACATCGTCGACATCGTCTTCCCCTCTGCTCATTATTATTATTATCATTATTTTAAAATCAGCATAGAAAGAGGAGAGACCAGCCCTGGCTGGTACTGTGCTTGTTATGAGCGAGGTAGAAGCACACTATGTGGCATTTGCTGCAATACCCAGGCTCTGCAGAGTACTGACATTTTGCCCTCTGGGAACACATTGTGTTTAGAGAATGCTGTCTCTTTTCCTTGTACTGTTTTACCAGCTAAATTCCAAACATGTAATGATTTCCTGTTCCTTTCTTTAACTAGCTGCCTTTAGATTTGAATATTCACAGTCTTAAAAACCTAGGAAAGAACTAGGTGGGAGTTACAGATGTAGATGTAATATCAAAGGCATTTCATGACAGAATTTTTATTTCCTGTAGTAGGCTTATTGGGACAAAGGAAATGTGCTGCTAAAAATAAAATTATGCCAGTTTAAAATTAGATAAAATACAGAGTGCCATCCTGCTAGGTATATGCAGACCAAAAGAAAATTTAGTTGGGGAAATACTTATTTTTCCAAATTCTGGTGTTCTGTTAAAATCAAAGAGGAGAAAAGGAAGATTTTTTTCTCTCTCAGGCTCTAATATATTTTAGATTTGTTTCTGTTTCATAGATTTCCTCCAGACACCTAGCTGTTTTTGTATTACATGAATTTAAAAATGAACTAAATTTATTTTTGTCTTCTGTTATTGAAAGGTACCAAAGCCTCTTTCTGTTTGTTTTTTTTTTTTAATTTGATTTTGCTATGTAGGGTTTTGCTTTTTCTAGAAATACTTTTCATTTAACAGCATTTCTTAAGTGTCAGGGCCCACTTTGATGTGCACAATTGTTTTTAGATTTCAGTGTGTATGCGTTTGTCTCTAAAGGTACTGGTGCAATCTCAGATTTTATATTCAGCATTAAAGAGAAATAAATTCCAGAAAACACATAGTCTGAAAATGGAGTGTTTGTTCCCTACCATATCTTAATACCTTTTCTAATTTTAGTTCTGTGTTTGCTTGAAACCTTCCTGTTTAGTTGGGATGTTATACTTATACTCCCACTCATGAATCTCATACCCGAATGCTGCAGATTAGTTGTAAAAACGCGGACGGATCATTTGCCCATTAGAGGAGACAAACATGTATGTGGTCCTGTGTTGCATGTGTGTTGGAGGTGATCACAGAATGCTCTCAGGCAGTGACCAGGGCCAAGGAAGCATTAAATCTCTGGTTCCCTTCGTGGGTTCCAATAGATGATTGTGGTTTCCTGAGTACACCGAAGCCATGGACTGGTGGATTTGTTCCCTTAATTGGGTGCAAAAACCCAAGTACAGTGTAGCTGCCACCCTTAGATAGCAGGGCCCCCCTTGAGGCAGCCCTCTCTGAAAACAGAAGACACTTCTGAAGGCAGAGTCGGAGGCTGATCTTGTCACTGAACTATTTCAGACCTTAAACACCAAGACCGAAGGAGGGTAAAGGAGGAGATAAAAGAGAACAGGCTGTAAGTCTGAAGGAAATGTGCTAAATTGTGAAACCAAACAAGCCAGGTAATCACTGCCCACTTATACCCCAGATTTTCAGTTTTCCTAGTTCTTCTAGAAATGCAGGTCAGGTTGGTTTGGTCATCCTTTCAATAAGCATGTGTTGAGCTCCTGGAATGTAATGGGTACTGTCTGAGCAGGACAGCAGTCTCTATCCTGAAGAAGGAGAAAAACAGAATCAGGGGCAGCAGTTACTGCTGAGTGATGAATGATAGAGTTGAGGTCAGTTCGTGGCGCTCCGTTCGTCATCCGGAGAGACGTTATGTGTAATCTTTGTTTGTTACAACCCTTCCAGGCTTTAAAATTATTTCATGCAATGGAATATATATGCATACATCTATACACACACACTAAAATATAAAGAGTAATAAACCCCTGTGTGCCTGCCACCAGCTCATTGCCTTTTCTTTGAGGCACTGAGTGCTCTTCTTGGGCCCTCTCCCATCCCTGTCTGAGAGTAGGAGCCCCTCTCCTGAACTCTGTGGATCATAGCCTTTCTCTCCTTTATCATTTTACCTCCTTTATCATATGTACTTTAAATAATAATAATAAGTGGCATATAAACTGTATTCTTCTGTCACTTTATGTTCATTGCAGTTGGGCATTATCATTTTGTAACAAATGTCCTGGTTTATTTTCATGGCTAAGTACTACTTCATTGTATGGCTGTATCACAGTTTTTCCCTTCTCCTGTCGCTGGATATTGAACTGCATCTTTCTTTGAAATAGAAAAAGGCAGTGTTGCTATGAACATTCTTTTATATGACTTCTGGTGCACATAACCAAGACTGGATGTATACCTTGAATAGAACTGCTGTGTCGTACAATAAAGCACATTATCAACTCTTAACAGATAAGGCCAAATTGTTTTCCAAAGTCATGGTACCAGCTTACAGTTTAACTGGTATCCTAGAATTTTCAGTACTCTAGATCCTCGCCAACGTTCGGGATCATCAGAATCAAATTTTTGCCAAGCCGAAAAATGTAAAATGGTATCTCATTGTGGTTTCATTTTGCACATATTTGATTACTAATAAATTGAACATGTTTTATTATGGTAATTCCTAAGTAGGAATTTGGAAATTCTTCTTTGTGTCTCTTACCTTTTTTCTATTGTTCTGTTTTTTAATTATTAATTTTTAAAGTTCTTAATACTTAACCTTTTATCGGTTAATGCTTATTTAACTATTAAAGAGAAACTATATTTAGAGTAGAAAAATCTTCTGAAGCAATTTCCAGAAGTATGAAAAGCATGTGAAACTTTCTTCTATTTGGAGAAAATAAAGATAAATGCATTTATTGTGTGTTCTTACTGTGTGCTGATTTTCAGCTTGTCAGCATATTATCCCAGAGAAGATGTACTTTGGAAAACCCTCTATGCTCTAGCAGGGTTCTTTCTTTGAAGCTATTTTAAGGCTCATCAATTCTAGTTATTTAGTAGGAGATTGTCACATTTGGTTTTCTGCTATAAAATTTTATCGAAAGGAAATCTTTATATAGACTACATGTTTATATATGCACATTTCCTTAGTTTACCAACATGTCATAGACTCACACAAGGACAAAATGATGTTACACTGAAAAGGACATGAAAAAAGTTCACTTAAGTCATAGGAGATTGTTTTGAACCTATACTCGTAATTAAATAATCCTTAAGCTGAATGAGCTAGATCTGTAGTCTGCGAATATAATCCAGTGTGCTGTGCTGATAGCACGTTTTCATGTGTGTGAACTGACTGGTGGGTATAAGAATGAGAAACTACAATGCAGTCTTGCCTTCTGAGGCTCCTGCTGCCCAGGGACAGCATTTTTAATAGACTAAGGACCCTGGCGTACTAGAAGACTTATTATGAAAGAAAGAATGTAAAATATCTTAATATTTTTTATATTGGGGCGCCTGGGTGGCCCAGTCGTTAAGCGTCTGCCTTCGGCTCAGGTCATGATCCCAGAGTCCTGGGATCGAGCCCCGCATCGGGCTCCCTGCTCGGCGGGAAGCCTGCTTCTCCCTCTCCCACTCCCCCTGCTTGAGTTCCCTCTCTGGCTATCTTTCTCTCTGTCAAATAAAATCTTTAAAAAAAATAATTTTTAAATGATAATATTTTAGATATATTGGGTTAAATTAAATAGTAAAACAAATGTCACCTTTCTTAATGTGGCCACTGTAAAATGTTAAATTGCATGTATGGCTTTTGTTATAGTTCTCTTGGACAATACTATTCTGTACCATCCTCTTTACCTGAATTTACAAGAGAATTTACAAAACCTTTAAAAGGTTTTGGGGGTTTTGGCAAAATGCTCCTTCTTTCATTTGTAAAATGAAAGAAAATGTGAACATCGTTTGGAATATAATTTTCTAATGCTACTGCCAAGGGAACTGTTTTTCTCGTTTTGCTTTTTTGTCCTTCTAGCTTGAAGCACTTTTGTAGTGAAGAGGGAGGTACTTTTTTTTTCCAGGGATAAAAATAGTAATCTGTGTGTGTTGTAATATGGGGCATCTCTCTGTGTATCCAAACTCTTGTTCCTTTATTGCCTTACAAAATTGATGTCTCCAGCTGAATTGGTCCACATCTGTGAACAGAGTCATGGTGGGTTGTGTGTGTGTGTGTTTTCTTTTTTTTAAAGAGGAAATTTAATGAACCATACAGATGCATCTGTAATCTGCAAAACTGATGAATATCAATAGGATTTTATTCTAGATTTCCTAAAATGTTAATTGTATCTGTAAAACTCATTTGAGCTCATAAGAATATACAGATAATCTACTTTTTGAATGTTTCTTTCTGGTCTCATTGCCAAAGATTAAAACAGAATGTGAGTATTAAGGAAAAATATCTTCCCTTTTTTGCCCAGGGTTTTAAACCATTTTCTTGTTGCTACTCTCAGCAAAATAGTTTTGGGGGGAAAACCCCTTTTGTCATCAAAATAATTGATGGTGACGGTAGTTGTTAAGTAGGAGAATGGGTTTTGTTTTGTTTTTTTAAAGATTTTATTTATTTACTTGTCAGAGAGAGAGCGAGCACAAGCAGGGGAAGCAGCAGGCAGAGGGAGAGGGAGAAGCAGCCTCCCCGCTGAGCAGGGAGCCCGATGCGGGACTCCATCCCAGGACCCTGGGATCATGACCTGAGCCAAAGGCAGACGTTTAACCGACAAGCAGCCTGGGTTTTTGGGTTTTGGGGTTTTTTGTGTTTTTTTTTATTATTTTGTTTGGGACCCTTCCCTGAAATGAGAGTGATTGTATTATAGCCCTTGTAAGTCAACAGATGCCAACTCTCTGTGTTTCACGTAGCTGTTTTCATGTTGCTTTGGGGCTCATTATTTGTCATTCTCATGAACTACCATCCGTATATAGGATTTATCCTTCAAAGACAGATGGAATAACCCCATGGAATCTGTCTGAGATAAATTATAGGTGAACATTTCTCATGTTAATTTGATTTAGCTTATTGATACTCTTATCCCAATCTGTTAAATTGGGGTAGTATTTTTCTTCATAAATCAATCCATTTCATGCCACATACTAATAACATCACTAGGTTGAAATACACATTCTGGGCTCTGGATTCAAAGCCAGATGCAAAGATGACTCTGAGATCAATACGTGGGGCAAAAAGACCAGTAATTCGGCATTGACTCTGTTATCCTAGACCAGACTTACCCTCTTCTTTCTCCCTGCCTGTGTTTAGTGGTAAACCACTCTCTTAAACAATCTGCTCCTAGCCACATCCTAACCAACTAGTATGGGTAGTGAAAGGGATGACCACAGTGATATTTTTACCCCCCAGATTGGCAGGCAGAAGGAATGCCTCCAGCTGCAGCTTCCCTCGATATACTATTTTACATGCCTAGTAAGTACTTATCATTGCATTACAATCACAAATGAGAAACTGAATCCTGACAGGTTTCCCATCCTAGTCATGAGGTGGCCAGGCAAACAGAATTTTAGCAGTCACATATCTGGCAGGTGAAATGACTGTGGCATTCAGACTTGTGGGTGGCTTCTGAATGACAGCAGGAAACCTGTTCCCTATCATTGACTCATTTAGAGACCAGGCTGCGTCTGAGACAATTCCAGAGAGGCTCCATTCTCTAGATCCCCAACACGTAAATGTTACATCTGTAGTGAGGGTGAACAGACCTACTGCTGGAATCAGACGGATATGCGGCAAAAGGACAAGCTGTGGTAGGAGAATGGGTGGCAGTGGTGTCTACCTCAAGAGATGGCCGTCTTCCTGAAAATGGGTCATTTCAGCAGAGAATAGATTTTAAATGATGGTGAAGATCTGTTTCCTCCAACGTTTTCATTACTGAAAACTTCATTGCATTTTCGTTGCAAATAGCTCCTTATTGAATAGTACTTTCAAAAGCGTTATAATTTACATTCTAATTTTTTGCTGATTGGAAGAGCATCCTTTGCATGATTTATGTTAGAACTAAGAGTCACCAAACAAGCTGTCCAGCCAAAGCCCAAGAACTCTGTGCTAGTAAGTCTTTTTTTTTTTTTTCCTTTGTACCTCAGCTTGTATTTTTCACTTGGTAAACATCTGAGAAAGAGAATAGCACTTTCCATTTCAGGGAGGGTTTAACCACCAGTCAGTTAAGCCCAAATATGATGTTATGAAAAACAGATTCATTATCTCTTCTGTATCAAGACCATTATGTGAGTTTGTTGATACCCAGTATTGGTATTTATGTTTGCGTGATGTTGGTGAAAGTGTAGTACTCTTTGTAACTTACCTGTGAGCATAAATGTTCCCTGCTTATTATCTCAGAAGCTGCTTTTCTTGGTGTTTTTTATTTTATACCATTTGGTTTGGGTCAGCTTTATATTAAGAGAGACGAATTAGTTGTATGTCCTTTTTCAACTTGTAAACAATAAATTTGTTATGTAAAAGCTGACCCTACACTCAAATAAAATACATGGTTTATTAGTATGTGTTCAACAGTCTATTTGGTAATTAAAAGTATGACCATGAACTGAAAAGTCTAGTTTTTTTCTTATTGTTTCACTAGTAACGTCTATTCCTTGTGTCCTTTCTGCTGACAATTAACCAGTTGCTAAGTGAAGTGTGTTTTTATCAGTATGTAACCAAGCAAGAGGTAAACACCACATGGTTATTTGCACAGGAAATTAAATATAAAGGATTCCCAAGCATTGATAAAGGAGTGATTATCAGATGTAAGAACAGTATATTTTACCGCCGGGGCTAAGGAAGAATACCCAAGGAAGGACAAACTTGGGAAGGCGGCGGGTCTTCAGAGCTCCTGGGGGACTTCCGGTTGCAGCTCACTGGAACAGCACGGAGGTTTGCTGGCTGCCCAGGCAGGGCTGGTCTACAGTCACGTGCAACAGCAAACAACCCGAGTGCGGTCAGGGGGCCCGGGAGCCACGGGCAGGCCTCCTCGCTTGCAGAGGGACTAAAGATGCCAGGGCAACTGGGAGACCCGGGTGTTCACGTCAAGGGGGCTGCAGGGAGGTGATCGCCGGGCCAGAGCTCCAGGTCTTTGTGGGACCCTGAGCTCTGCGACCCCCGAGAGAAGGCAGGACCATTAGACCCACACGACCCACCCCCCTCCAACTGAGAAAGCTCAACGTCGTACTCCTGTGAGGGAGACGTGCTTAAAGGAATTCTGTCCACGATTACAGAACACGTGTTGGAGGGTGAATTTGGAGCTAAGACGTGATAAACTGATAGCTGGCGTGTATCACAAATGAATTCTCTTAGTGACTTCGCTTCGGGAATTAGCCATGTTCATTAAGAGCAAAAGGACTATCAGTGTTTTGTGAAGTTTAGGCAGTTTAAGTGAAGATTTGCATTACAAGCAATACTGATGCCTTGCTGTCAAGTATCCAAAACTTCGTTGTGGGAAGTTGGCAACTCAGTTGTTAACTAAACTGGTGAGTCATGTCACAAATACAAATGTTACAGAAAGATGCAAATCTTAGGATGTAACCATGACTTCTAGTCATCCTTACTTTGTAGTTCTCAGTCTCATATTGAAATTGAAATATTATTTAAAGGAAAAAGCATGATGCTGAAGTATATATTTAAAGCTTCTAGATATGTCTC